GGGTCTGAGTGTGTTTCACATATAGATCGTGAGGGTGAATTGCTTTTGTACGATGGGGGTAAATCGCTTCCTGATGGTGGTGGTAAACAACTACTGTACGATGGGGGTAAATCGCTACTCGATGCTGCGGGCAAAATGCTACTGTACGGTGGGGGTAAGTCGCTACATGATGCTGAGGGCAAAGCGCTACTGTACGTTACGGGTAAATCACTTCTGGATTGTGAGTGTAAATCGCTTGTGAATTGTTGGTGTAATCCGTATCTGGCTTCTGCGCGTAGAGCGCGTAGTTCGACTTTCACTTGGTCCGGATCTTCGATGCCTTTGTAATATGCTATCGACTTGCATGCTTGCTCCTTTTTACCTTTTGCCACCAAGAAATACGGAGTTTCGCGTAAGCATATGAGCAGCAAGGTGGATATAGCGGATATTCCTGCAAGAAGCAGCAGGTGTGACGTGTACGTCAGCGAGGGTCCTAGAGCGTATGTTAGTAGTGACCCGGGATATACGTTCGCTGCGATTAGAGTACTCAGGCCTCCTCTGAGTTTGACGTCGGCGACTTCTGACACGAACATGGGATTTATCGTGCGGGCAATACCAACGCCTATACCGAGAATCCCCCGGGCAAGGTATAGCATTTGCACAGAAGTTGAGGAGTGCGTGTCGAGCCAGCCTATGATGAACACTATGCTGCATGCAATGAGGCAGTATTTACGACCGATGCGATCGGCCAACTGGACAGCCAGAAGTGAACCGATCATTGAACCAAGTACTGTCAAAGAAACGACCCATGAATATTCGTCGGGTGTTAACGTTAGCGGCGTGTTCCCGATGCCAGATGTGAAAAGGAGAAATGAAGTCTCTGTCCATCCGTAGACTGTACCCACCAAGCACATGGTCATCGTTCCTGGAATGAGAAACAGATAATGCTATATATAGCATGTGTTAATTGTAGTGCGGTCGTTTTATAATTACACTGCGAATATTTGCACAAATTTGTATTTTTAATATATACTACTAATTGTTAGGTAGATGATACATTTACACTGAACATGTAAATGTGTGTGTAAGCCTCAGAGGATGTCCAGGTCTCAGGTGAGACAAAAGACGATTGGTAGCTGTTAGTTGAATCTCGAATAGTCTATTGACAACAAGCGTGCGTGTAAGAAGGTAATCGAGGTCTTCAGGGTGTAATATATATGTACAGCTGTTGTGTATGAATAAAGTAAATTATTTATTTTACCGAAACCTCTGTGTAGCTTAACAGTATTATATTTATAATTAATACATACCGCAGGCTATAAGTAAATGTACTCTTCGCGATGTTAGCACGAATGCTTTCCACTAGTATTATTTCTTAGCTATTTTATTATTAATCTGTTAATCCATTCGCATTATATGTGCATTAAGTAAGATACTACATGAAGTAAA